TCACCTATAAAAAGGCACAGGCTAGCAGAATGGATATGAAAACAGGATCCATCCTTCTGCTACATACAAGAAACACACCTCAACCTCAAAGATAGACATGACACCAGAGTAAAGAGTTGGGAAAAGATTTTTCAATCAAATGAACCTAAGAAACAAGTGCTTGTAATTATCCTAAAATTTTGCAAAATAGACTTCAAATTAACGTCAATCAAAGGAGATGGAACCCCATGGCTTAAAGTTAAGATTCAACAACACTCATTGTAAAAAGCCGACAAACTCATGGAAAGTGAATAATGCTAAACTGAATCACCCCTGGGTCAGGGAAGAAATAAAGAAAGAAATTAAAGACTTCCTAGAATTCAATGAAAGTGAATGCACAACATACCCAAACCTATGGGACACTATGAAAGCAGTGCTAAGAGGAAAGTTCATAGCACTATGTGCCTACATAAAGAAAGTAGAGAAAGATCACATCAGTGAACAGCACACCTGAAAGCTCTAGAACAAAAAGAAGCAGACTCACCAATGAGGAGTAGATGACAGGAAATAATCAAATTGAGGGCTGAAATTGATGAAATAGAAATAAAGAAAACAACACAAAGACTCAATGAAACAAAGAGATGGTTATTTGAGAAAATCAACAAGATAGACAAACCCTTATTCAAACTAATCAAAAGGCAGAGAGAGAACATCCAAATTAACAAAATCAGAAATGAAAAGAGGAATAACAACAGACACTGAGGAAATCCAGAGAATCATTAGGTCATATTTTGAAAAGTTATACTCTACAACATTGGAAAAGCTAAAAGAAATCAACACTTTTTTAGAGAGATGCCACATACCAAAATTAAATCAAGAACAGATAAACAATTAAAATAGACATATAATCCCTAAGAAAATATAAGCTGTCATCAAAAGGCTCCCAAACAAACAAACAAAAAACAGCCCAGGAAAGTATGCTTTCTGTGCAGAATTCAACCAGAACTTCAAAGAAGAGTTAATACCAATACTCCTCAAATTGTTCCACACAATAAAGACAGAAGGAATATTGCCAAACACTTTTTACGAGGCTACAGTTACCCTGATATCCAAAGGACACAAAGATTCAACTAAGAGAATTACAGATCAATCTCCCTCATGAACTCAATAAAATACTGCAAACCAAATCTAAGAGCACATCAAAAAAATGCATCCACCGTGATCAAGTTGGCTTCATCCCAGAAATGCAGGAGTCATTCAACATATGAAAATCTGTCAATGTAATCTACCATAAAAATAAACTAAAAGAGAAAAAAATACATGATCATCTCATTAGATGCTGAAAAAGCACTCGATAATATTCAACACCCTTTCATGATAAAGGCCTTGAAGAGATCGGGCATACAAGGAACATATCTAAACATAATAAAAGCAATATACAGCAAGCTGACAGCCAACATCATATTAAGTGGAGAGAAACTCAAAGCAATTCCACTAAAATCGGGAACAAGACAAGGCTATTCACTCTACCCATATCTATTCTATATAGTATTCAATGTTCTAGCTAGAGCAATAAGGCAACAAAAGAAGATTTTAGGGAATGCAAATTGGAAAGGTAGAAGTCAAATTTTCACTGTCTGCAGATATGATAGTATACATAAGTGACCTCAAAAATTCTACCAGGGAACTCTTACTACTGATAAACACCTTCAGTAATGTGGCAGGATACAAGATCAACTCAAAAAAATCAGTAGCCCTCCTATATACAAATGATAAAAGAACTGAGAAATAAATCAGAGAAACATCACCCTTCACAATAGCCACAAATAATATAAAATATGGTGGTGTAACTCTAACCAAACAAGTGAAAAACCTGTATGACAAGAACTTTAAAGTCTTTGAAGAAAGAGGTTAAAGAAGATATCAGAAAATGGAAAGGTCTCCCATGCTATTGGATAGGTAGAATCAACAAATAAAAATGGCAATCTTGCTGCTTAGTAGTACTGCACACCATTAATCCTAGCACTCAGGAGACAAAGGCAGGCGAATTTCTATGAGTTTGAAACCAATCTGGTCTACAGAGTGAGTTCCAGGACTGTCTATAGCTACTGAGAAACCCTGTCCCCAAAGACCAAAAAAAAAAAAATTGGCAATCTTACCAAAAGCAATCTACAGATTCAATGTAATCTCAAGACAATTCTTCACAGACCTCTAAAGAACAATATTAAACTTCATATGGAAAAACAAAAAACCCAGGATAACCAAAACAATCCTGCACAATAAAGAAACTTCTAGAGGCATCACCATCTCTGACTTCAAGCTCTATTACAGAGCTACAGTAATAGAGCTTGAAAACAGCTTGGTATTGACATAAAAACAGAAAGGTGGACCAAGAGAATCAAATTGAAGTCTGTGATATCAACCCACACATCTAAAAACACCTGATTTTTGACAAAGAAGCTAAAACTATACAATGGAAAGAAGAAAGCTCTTCAACAAATGGTGCTGGCATAACTGATATTGACATGTAGACAAATGCAAATAGATCCATTTCTACCATGCCTAAAACTCAAGCCCAAATGGATCAAAGACCTCAACACAAATCCAGCTACACTGAACCTGATATAAAAGAAAGTGGGAATTAGCCTAGAACACATGGGCACAGGAGAATACATCCTAATAGAACACAAGTAGCACAGACACTGAGAGAAACAATTAATAAATGGAACCTCTTGAAATGGAGAAGCTTCTGTAGGCAAAGAACATGGTCAAAAAGACAAAATAGCATCCTGCAGAATGGGAAAAGATCTTCATCAACCCCACATTGAACAGAGGACTGATCTCCAAAATACACAAAGAACTCAACAAACTAGATATCAAAATACCAAATAATCCAATTTAAAAATGTGGTATAGAACTAAACAGAGAATTCTGAACAGAAGAATCTCAAATGGCTGAAAGAAACTTAAGAAGGAATTGCTCAACATCCTTAGCCATCAAGGAAATGCAAATCAAAACAATTTTTTGAGATACTATCTTACACATGTCAGAATGGCTAAGATCAAAAATGCTGATGACAGCTTGTGCTGGAGAGGGTGTGGAATAAGGAGCACGCTCTTCCACTGCTGGTGAAGTACAAACTTGTACAACCATTTTGGAAATCAGTATGGTGGTTTCTCAAAAAAAATGGGTATCATCCACCTCAGGACCCAGCAATTCCACTCTTGGGCATATACCCAAAGGATGCGCATTTCTACCACAAGGACATTTGTTCAGCTATGTTCATAGCAGCATTATTCACAATAGCCAGAACCTGGAAACAATCTAGATGCCCCTCAGCTGAAGAAAGGATAAGGAAAATGTGGTACATTTATACAACGGAGTCCTATCAGCAGTAAAAGACAATGAAATCTTGAAATTTGCAGGCAAATGGATAGAACTAGAAAAAAACATTCTGAGTGAGGTAACCCAGACGCCATAAAGACAAACATGTATGTACTCACTAATAAGTGGATATTAGACATAGAGCAAAGGATAGTCAGGCTATTCTCCATGATAACAGAGAAGCTAGATAACAAAGAAAGAACCCTAAGACATACATGGATTCCCCCTGGGAAGAGGAAATAGGCTATATCTCCTGAGTAAATTGGCAGGGGGAATGGAGGGCAGAAGCGAAGCGGGAGGAGAAAATAGGAGGGGTAGGAGAATTGAGGGGGCCATTATGGGGTTAGCAAGAAATCTGGCAGTAGGGAAATTCCCAGGATTCCACAAGGATAACTCCAGCTAAGAATCTAAGCAATAGTGGAAAGGGTGTGTAACTGATCTTCCCCTCTAATCAGATTGATGACTACCCTAATTGTCATCATAGAACCTTCCTCTAGCAACTGATGGAAGTAGATTCAGAGATCCACAGCTAGGCACTGGGCTGATCTCCCAAAGTGCAATCAAAGAGAGGGAGGTGCAATAATATGAGCAAAAGAGTAGAGACCATGATGGGGAAACCCATAGAAACAGCTGACCTGAGCTAGTGGAGCTCACTGACTCTGGACTGACAGCTGGGGAACGTGCATAGGACCAAACTAGGCCCTCGGAATGTGGTGACAGTTGGTGCTTGGGCAGACTCTGTGGCCACTGGCAGTGGGACCAAGATTTATCCCTAGTGCTTGAACTGGAATTTTGGAGCCCATTCTCTTTGGAGGGATTTCTTGCTCAGCCTAGATACAGGGGAGAGTGTAGTGAGCCGGACAGGATCGCCATTACAAGATGGCGCCGACATCCTGTCTTGTTGGAAATAAACAACTCCGTATTTGGTATTTGGCTATGGCTTTGAGAGCTGCGCGTCCCCGCTTCCCGCATGCGCGGTGGATGAGGATCCTTGAGCCTATCCCGATGCGGTCTGGTGTCAGCTGTTGGTGGCAGCCAATCACAGGGCGACCCGTGTGCCAATTCCCTATTTAAGCGGCTGCCTAAGTGCCCCTCCCCTTCGCTTCCTGCTGCCTCTCCCCTTGCTCCCTGCCCCTTCGCTCCCCGTCCCTCGTTTTCCAGCCCTCTCATTCCATGCTCCCCATCAATCAAGAACACTCCAGTAAAAGCGTGTTCTCAGTGGAATCCTGATGTGGTGGTCATTCTTCGTTGCTGGTCGAGAAGTCTGCCACAGGAGAGGGACTTGATCCTGCCTCAATTGATATGACAGACTTTGTTGCCTCCCCAGGGGAGGCCTCAACCTCTCTGAGGAGTGGATGGGGGTTGAGGTGGGAGGAAGGTGGGGGGGAGTGGGAGGAGGTGATGGTGTGGGAACTGGCATTGGTATGTAAAATGAGAAAAGATTGTTTAAACAAACTATTAATCCTTTAATCCCAGCACTCGGGAGGCAGCGGCAGGCCGGTCTCTGTGAGTTCGAGGCCAGCCTGGTCTACATGAGCTAGTTCCAGGACAGGCTCCAAAAGCTACAGAGAAACCCTGTCTCGAAAAACCAAAAAAAAAAAAAAAACAAAAAACAAAAACAAAAAAACAACCTATTAATCACTTTTCTGCCTTTTGCCTAACATGAAATATATAATGTCTGTTCTTTAATGTTTAACATCTTGTATGTCCTGTGTCCAAGGACAATAAATGAAATGGATTTTTGGAGCTTGGAGATGATATAAGATTTGTTCCAACCACTATATACATACAGTGATCTAACTTTTACATAGCCTCTAGGACTGGTCTCCACTCTGGTTCAAGGATGGAGGTTTAGATGGCAAAATATAAGGGAGATACGTTCTGTAATTCTTTTGGTTTTGCATTTATTTATTGTTGTGTGTTTGCGTTTGTGCCACAGGGAGTGTGTAGAAGTCAGAGGAACTTGAAAGAGCTCATCATCTTCTACTACGTGGATTCTGGGGTTCACTCTTAGGTCTTCAGGCTTTGTATTAAGTACCTTTACCTGCTGAGGCATCTCATTGGACTCTGTAATTCATGGTTACTGAAAAACAATCTGATTTATGGACCTGGGCTTTAGTTTGTAGATGTATTCTTTTCAGCACATAAACAAATGCTCAGATATTTGGAGCCGTGCCAGTGAGATGGTTCAGCAAGTTAAGATGCTTGTTATATAAACCTGACAACCTGGGTTCAATACCCAGAATACACAGAAAGGGGGCAGGAGAGAACGACTCTTCTGACCTCCACATGTGTACCACGGTGTCATGGCCACACATGCCAAACACATAAATACATTAACAATAAATAAAATGAGCAGCAAGGAGCTGGGGGGTGGGCAGAGAGCACTTGCGGCTCTGGTAAAGGCCCACATGGTACGTCACACACTTCGGTGACACCAGTGCCATATGATCTGACACTTCTGACTCTTTGGCACTGGGTATGCACATGGCACATATACAGACATGCGGGAAAGATTATACAGACATGCGGGAAAGACCTAGAGAATAGAAATAAAACCTTATTTGCATGTCTTAATTTTTCTGAGACAGGGCCTTCCTATGTAGACCATCTGCTTCTGTCTCCTGAGTGCTGGTCCACATTAAAGCCCTGAGAGCCATACTCAGCAAAATAAATAAACCATTTTTAAGATCAATAAAATAAACACATAAAATAAAACTTTAGAGACAAACTACTAGTTAGCATGTTCTAATCTGTGTCTTTTCAGCTCGATATGCACCACTGAAAAACCAAGGCATCGTGTATGGAACCATTAGAATTTCAGTTTTCACTCTGATATTGTTCTTCCTTATTATAATTTTCTAAAGATTATTAAAAATTTAAGAAAGCCACATGGCATCTTCTTACTATAATTTCCTGAAGACTATTAAAAATCCAAGAAGGAAATGAAAGGAGGGGAGGAAGTGGAAATTTTGAATGGTATTGTTTATAAAGCAATAAAAATTTAAAAAATAAATGGTGCTGACACCAAAAAAAATTCAAGAAGGTCACATGGTATCATAAAAATAGAAAATCGACAGCCTTTCCATTTAGTAACCATATACCAATGCGGTAATAGCAAATTTTAAATTGTTTGAACCGAAAATGAAGACAGGCTGTCATATGTACTTCGCAAGGTTTCAAAGAACATATGTGTATGAAATAGCCACATGTGTTGTTAGGATAGCCATCATCTGTCTCTCCTCCTGTTTCAGAATGGGTCTTGCCATGAAGTGCAGGCTAGACCCTAATTCTCAGTGATCCTCCAACCCTCTAGCCTCTGTCTTCTGAGTGCTGGAGTTCCAGGCTGCACATCCCACCATCTCTACTTCTATCTGCATTCCGCCCATACTCCTCTCTCTGTCTCTCTCCCTTTCTGTCTCCCTCTATCCCTGGCTCACACCTGAACACCAGGTCTCTCACATGCTACTCCGCTACATTCCCAGCCCTAATTTGCTCTTAAAGATTTTAAACTTTGAAGTCTTTTTTAGCTCGTGTGTGTGTGTGTGTGTGTGTGAACTCACAGCAATATTCCCGCCTCAGCCTTCCAAGAGCAGAGATTATAGGTGTGAGCCACCACGCCTGACTTTTAACTGACTCATAATGTAAAGAAGAAATGAAGTGCTATCTCCAGTGTTTCTTCAACACATTCGAGATTTAATCAGAATAGTATACATCAAAAAATAGAGTATTGTTCCTTGATCATTGCAGTTTCCACTTCTTACTAAAGGTGGCAGTGCTGTTCTCTAAGGAGAACCGAACTTTTGCAGTCTTATTATTCGTTACACTTCTTTAAAAAAAAATATTGCCTGGCATGGTGGCACATGACTTTAACACCAGCACAACAGTCAGAGGCATGCCTGGTCTAAATTGTATTTCCCAAGAAGGTCAGGGTTATGTGTTGAGACCATGTCTCAGTAATAATAATAATAACAACAACAATAATAATAGCAATAGGAATAGTAATAATAACTTTAAGATGTACAATGTATTTTGGTCATATTTATCCCCGTTGCCCTTTGTTATACCCCCCCTACACTGTTTTCGAGGGTCTCACCTTGTAGACAAGGAACAACCTGTTCAGTGTTAGAATCTATTGTTTGATGTTTTAAAGGCACCCCGCTGAAGAGACACTGGTATAGAAAATAGAATTTTATTCAAGTACACTGGTTTGGTGGTACACATTTTTAATACCAGCCCTCAAAATTCAGACAGGTGGATCCTGCATTTGTGGTCACTTGGGTTAGAGAGCGAGACTGTACAAAACAAAACAGAAAACAGCAAATGGTTTCAGTCAGGTGATTTGCACAACTCCCCTACGGTAGTTCTTTCCACTTACTTTCCATGCTATGACATCTTTGTTGGCTCTCACCACCACCTCCATGTTAGCTACTTAAATAGGTGAGAAGTCATTCTGTTTCCCGCCTCTGTTTTTATTACCTGTGTGATTGGCAGAGCCAACCACTGAAAACAGATAAGAGGTCACGGAAAGGAATGAAGACACTAGTCTACCTACGGGACATGGGATTTTTTGTATAGTTTTTAATAAATAGATAAATAAATAAATAAATCGTACTTTAAAGCAAAAATTTTGAAGGTCTTACCATTTCCCCCTAACTTTTCTCTTGGAACCTCTGCTTAACCTTTGGCTTAGTTTTCTACTATCAGAGAAAATCAGAGTTGAGAGGCAGAATGTAGAGGAAAGAGCACTTCTTTGGCATCAGAAAACCCATTTGGCACCTGTGTTCTGCTACTCTTAATTTGGTTTTCTCTAGAACAGTCATTTAAACCCTGACGCTTGGTTATCTCAATTATAAATTGAAGTTAATAATGGATCGTGAAAAGTTGGCAGAGGATACAATAAACAGAAAAGCATTTTTGTAATTTATACATTTAGATTATGAATGTATCAAACTCTAAACATTAATATTTAATGTACGAGGTCTTTGGTACTGTTTTTAAAGCCCCACCCTCTCTGCATGAGTTGCTGGCTCTGCTGAAATGACTGTGCCCTTTGCCCTCAGGACTCTGTCTTTGAAAGACTGTTCAGAGGTGCCAAGCTTGGTGGCCTGGGCTTGAAAGGTCACTCTTAACTACGTAATGAGTTTCTGGCTAGCTTGGGCTACAGGAGACTATCTTTAAAAAATAGTTATCAGTCTCTTCGTAGAGTTCTCTGTACCACCTATACTTACTTCTCTATTTTGACTAAATGTTGGAATTCATATTCACCCAGTACAAATCCCTTTAAAGCCATTGGAATCCTTCAAGAGCAGAAGCAGTACAAATGAACTTTCATTTTATTTGGTCCTGATAATACATAGGATTCACAAGACATAACTAATGAGAGGGAAAGTGGAGAAAAGATGGCTAAAACAAGCTCTGGTATTATTACTAGTAGTAATAATAATAAGGAGGAGGAAGAGGAAAAGGAGGAGGGTGGTGATAATAGCTGGGTGTGGTTGGTACATTCCTGCAATCCCCAGCATTTAGGAGGCATAGGCAGGAAAATCACTGCAAATTCCTTCTGTACTAACACCTGTCATCTCAAAAGTCGGGGGGACAGAGAAAAGACGATTACAAGATTAAGATTAAGTACAACCTCAGCTACATAGTAAACACCAGGTGAACCTCCAGAATTCATCAAAGCCATGTACAGCAGAATGTGGTGATAATTACCTGAACATGAAATCCAAGAACGCGTGGCGGGAGGTTGCTCCCAAAGGCAGAGGGGAATTTAAGATCATCTTCAGCCACACGAGGAGTTCACGTCAACTTTTTACGTGAGACTAAATAAAATAAATAAAAAAACAAACCATCTCAAAAAGGGGGTGGAGCAGAAACTGGCGATAGCGATAGGCTTGGAGTATAAAAACAATTTGATAGGCAGAAATGGGAAAGACAGTGTTCTTAGATGAAGGGATCATCAAAGTCAACCGCAAAGAACAGGGAAGAGAAGGATGTCTTTGGAGGATGAAGAGCATTCTAACTGGCAGCGGTTAGAGTACACACAGGGAAGCTGTGAGGATAGAAAGATAAGTAGCAGCTTACTTTGAATTCCGAGATGAGGAAGTTTATGGAGTTCCCATTCCTGTTGGGCTTATGTCAACTTCTTCCCCTAAGTGCTGGGAGTTATCTCCTCCCCTACTTCTCCTAGTACCAGAAGGGAGCCACTTCCCTTTCTCTGATAGCAACTAACTTGTCTCAGGAGCCTGTCCCAGGATGGGCAGAGTGAACCTCTGGGGTTTACAGCTTCTGCCCCTTCCTCCTACCATTACCTCATTCTTACAGAGGCTTATGACTTCCCGACCCTGATTCTCTTCCTTAAACAACCAAGATGAATCATATAAGCCACGTGTGGTAATGAAGACTTGTAAGCACAGCACAGCAACTCAAAAGGCTGAGGCAGGAGAATGGCACACCTGAAGTCCACCTTGCTTACATAGCAAGTTTAAGGCCAGCAGAGGCAGCTAAGGAAGACACTATTCCAAAATAGAATTGAAATTAAAGAGGCTAGGGATATCGCATTTAAAAAAAAAAAAAGGTTTGGGCCAGGGAGTCAAGTTCAGTTGGCAGAGAATTTTACAACAATGTGCATGAAGTCTAGCATGACACAAAATACTGGTGGGGGTGCCGACCTACAATCTCAACTTTGGGGAGGGGCAGGCAGGAGGATTAGAAATTTAAGGTCATTCATGGCTACAAGCAAGTTTGAAGCCAGCCTAGGACACGTTACACCTGTCTCAAAAATAAAAACAAGAGGTTATATAGGTGGTGAACATCTGTCATCCTAGAACT